ACCGCGCGGCCGGCCTGGTCCACGTCGAAGGGAAGAAAGGCAGGAACAGCTGGCAAGGCGCCTGCCGCCACCAGGAACAAAACACCTGCTGTGCCCGGGCTCGAAAACCTGGCCCCCTCGACAGACTGACGACGCGAGTTTGCATCGCGGCCGCATGGCCCAACGACATGCAGCAAACTAGCCTACCGGAAAAGCTTGCACGATCCCATGCGTAAAGCCCGCGGAGATTCAAAACACGTGTGTCAATTGTTTGGTGGAGGAGTGGCATTACAAAGACCGTGGCGTATGCCCCAGTAAGTGAAGTTCCGTTCGGGATATCCTCTTTAAAATGCTCAATGGTTCTTTGGAATCTAATAATACAACTGTGATCTACCAAGGTGGTTCTTGAACAAAATATTTTGAAAAAAAATGCGTTTTCGTACGCATATTACAATTGTTATAATATTAACAAGATAACGTATAAATGGAAAGAAGCATTGCATTCAAGGTACTATTAAGTCATTGCATTCAGGATACACTAGTTTTTAAATACATTACAAAACCATACTATAGTTCTGTTATATCATCACTAGACAGTCAAATTTTTAGAAGTTAATATTTAGAGCATTTGACTTTCATTTTTTCAAGAAAAATCAAATTCATTTACCAATGTAATCATGTACCAATGATTTAAATAAATGCACAGTACATATTACCTTACTTCTTACTAAATTTCTTAAAAGAATAGTATCTACTTTAACACAAAAAAATCATATCAATTAATCTAGGGAGACAATTCCAGCACAGCACAATAAACAACAAATAAATCCAAATATATTTATTTGCTTTGCATATTGTAAACACAACTTCTTCCAAACTTCATGACACAAACCAAAACAATCACAAGCAATAAACAAAAGAAAACCCCTTCAAAGTTCATTTGTATTATAGTACTGAACATTAATGCACAATAAAAATGACCAAGTAAACAAAGCAGTTCAGATATTATTTATTTGGATCATTTGTCTAAAAAAAACTAACATACTCAAGCTTTAATGAGTTCATTGAACCATTGTATAATGTTTGCATGCACTACATTTCTCATTTCATTTCAGGTAATTTTCCTTTTATGCAGTACGTAATATAACTATAGCTATTTCATTTTATAAAATTTCTTCACTCAAAAGCGAATTAATTCGAATTGAATTCTCACTTTTCCAATCCAAATGAACTGCATAGTCATTTCGATTGCATAAAACACTTATTTCATTACTGGAAAACATATAAAAGATAGGATGAACCAAAAAACATGAAATTACAATCTCGAAGTTTTGGCGCGATGCTACAACCAGGACGTCGACTTCCTTTCTTTGTGTATTTCTCATTCTTACTAGGTTTCAAAAGACACTAAATGAAATTTTACGCCTAAATAATAGTACTGTATCTTACCACTTCTCTGCATTTTCAAAATATCTTCACACTATCACTTCTACTTCACATAACGGCTACGGCAACCACTACACAACACTCAACACACCAATACATTGACTTATACCTGCTCCTGCTTGTGCCTTGCCTCCAACCCGGCTCGCTGCCTGCCTCCCCACTCGTGGCCTCTGGTGGCCTCTGATCGTGTGAAAAGGCAAACGAGGCAGACAGAGCGCGTGCGGTCGATATCTGCCTGCGCTGTAAGCACCCTGGACAATCTGGCGACAATTTGAAGCTGCCGAATATGACACTGAAAGCTCAAGGATTACTGACAAATAATTGCATGTTCTATGTCTTTGTAATTTCCTACTCGTTTGTCTGGCATAACTTGACACATTTTCTGCATAAAACTCGTATTATCAATCTATGCTACGAAAATTTAAACTGTGAGAAAAAAAATGACGCTAGCTCTTTAGTTAATTTTAATTTTATTTTCAATTTTAATTACCAATTATATTTGCAATTCCATTTTTGAAACAGAGTATTTCTCATAGATATTAGTAAAGTTTGCATTTTTATGGTAGTGTTTAGTTGAACCTTAAATCAACATTGTTTGTCTTGGTTTAATAAAATTACAGAAACCTTAAGTTTTATTAATGAAAAAACAAAATCAGTCTTTATTATCCCGTAATCATTACCTCTTTAAGCTAAAAAATGTGTTAAAATATTAAGAGACAAATTTCAGAAAGTTAAATGTTTAGGAATTAATTCAAAGAGAAATAAACAGTATATTATAATTGATGTTAAAAACATCTTTAAACACAAATATAAATAAATATATATCATTCATTTGGATTTAGTTCTTGGTAAAGGCTATTTCAATTGCAACCAATATTATTGATGTTACAAACTTTCTTGCTTGACATAATATTATGTTAAATGGAATAAGAGCTAGTTTCCCCCAAAAATTGGTATTCAGTTTTCATTCTCAATTATGTTGGCAGTCTCTTTAAGTGTTAGGGTCATGGATAGACATTCTTCATTGATGGGGCTGTCATGAAGTTATTGCAATAAGCAGCTATAGATTTTGTTACTTTTATTGAGAGTGTGAATCAAGCATCTTATAGTGGGGAAAATCTTTAGGTTGATGCTTTACAGCTTGGCTTCAGGAGTAATAGATCCACAGACACAGCCATCTTCTCCTTTTTAAATGACATACGTGTTGCACTAAATCAGAAGGAAATTCCCATTAGCCTTTCCTTAGATTTGTCAAAAGCCTTTGACATCATTGGCCATCATATACTTTTAAGAAAACTAGAAATGCTACGGATTGAAGGCATTGCAGGCCAATGGATCAAATCATATTTATCAAACCATAGCCAAATAGTTGCCCTCCGACACACTAAAGAAAACAAAATCTCCTCATACTACTCCTGTCCTCAAATAATAAATTGTGGAGTCCCGCAAGGATCCATCCTTGGGCCAATACTATTCCTTATATACATAAGTGACACGCCTTTGGCTTTAAGGAACAACAAAATAATTTTGTTTGCAGATGACACAAACATCATCATCAAAGCAAAAACACAACAATCATTAAAAAAAGAAACCCACAAAACTTTGCAAGCACTAGTAAAATGGTTTCAAGACAAAAAACTCATCATAAACACCAGCAAGACAGTCTCTCTAAATTTCATGAATCCTCGATCTAAAGAAAAACTCTCACAGCATTAGCTCATAAACAATAACCCTGTCACGATATCTCATGAAACTACCTTCCTCGGACTAACAAATCAAGAAAACCTAAAATAGAACACTTGCATCTCAAATCTCAACAAGAAGCTCAGCAAATCTTGCTATGCACTATATACCCTCAGGTCAAGCTCCAACATCGAGACACTTCGAACAATGTATTTTGCAAGTGTGCACTCACACCTAAAATATGGAATAATATTCTGGGGAAATGCCCCTGAAAGCATTCGCACATTTAGTATCCAAAAGAGAATATTGCAAACAATGACCAGCACTCTTAAGCTAGAGTCTTGCAAACCCTTGTTTAATAAACTAAGGATTCTTCCTCTACCATGCATGTACATATTTGAAATAGTGGTCTTCACAAAGAAAATGGAAATCTCATGGAAAACAAAGACACTTTTACTTTAAATTCTGATGTACAAAGTTATAACACCCGTCAAAAGGATAACCTACACATTCCCCAGTCTGAAACTACACTTTATCAAAAAAGTACCCTAATAGAGGGCATTACACTTTACAACAAACTAGGCAATGATATCAAAGACATAAACACATTTCATATATTTAAAAGTAAATTGAAAGCTTTCCTGCTTGTTCTACAGTGTAAAGGAATTTTGAAATTACAACATTTCCCTAAAAAAATATCAATAAATAAGAATTTCTTATCCCATTAGACTTTCTGTTTCGTGTAAACTGTTTCAAGCTGAAGCAAAGAAAAAAAGAACTGCATATCGCATCTTGTGAAACAGAAGGAGAATAGAAGAAGAAAACTGGTCAAAACTTGCCTCTTCACCGTTTCAAGTTATAAATATAGAATGTACTACTATTATTAAATTTGATGTAGTTGCAAACATATTTGATATGTATTATTAATGTAATTATTATTATTATTAATATAATTATTATTATTACATAATGACATTGAAATAAATCAATATCTTCCATTATGATAATGAAATACCATGTTAAAGAATTCAATTTAAGGTGATTTGTCTGATTCTTATATTCTTTAAAAACAAAATTCCAATTTAAATTGTTTATATCATTCTGTATAACTAATTAGGTTAACTAAGTAAAAGTATAAAGAAACTTTACTAACAATTTTTTTATTCTGATATTTTGCTATATTTTAAAATGAGATTGAATAAGTTATTTGTTATGTCATTCAATTATGAAAATATTAGCTTTCTTATCCATTATTGAATTAAACAACTTGGTGTATGGAAGTTTGCTTATTATGGTACAAGTCAATTTACATTATTTATTGAAAGTTTTACAATTTCAAATAAAAAAATTGGAAATACATTTAAAAAAATATCAGTATATATACTCACTTTTCAATACACATACTAACTTTCTTCATTATATTAGAATAATGTGGTAAAAACTTAATTATTCTACCTCAGAATATTATAGCAACCATAGCATGTCTTAATGGCTAAAGAGTAAGAAAAGGGGAAAATAATTTTCTCTGCCAGGAAAAGATATTGATGTGATCAGCCAGGAAACAATGTTTTGAGCTGGGAAATTATCCTCTGTTGATTTGTACTCTCCTGCTCTTATATTATTCTGTTGTCATTGGAAGGAATATCTAGTTTTATACTAACATTATTTGAAAATATTATTTGGATTTATATTACCTAATTTTGTGAAAATGAAAATGGAAAATATGGGGAAGTCTATGAAATAAAACAGCTCTGGTATCATTCAAAATAACTATGATAGATTTAAGAAAGATCTATTTAAATTCTAAGGAAATATTAATTTTAATTTTCATTAATTGTATCTCTTGTAACATTCTCACATTCATTCTCAATTATTCACATAATAATTTCACATTATTCATATTTGAGAAAAAAAACTTTACATCAAGATTTATTTGGTTGTAATTAATAATAAAAATTTTACAAGAAATATTACATAAATATACAAGGCAAATATACATCACACAATCTTATAATTTGGCACAGGAGATGGAAAATGTTTACTGTTACACATTTTTACAATAGTTGAAGAGTATTGTTCTGCACTAACCAATTGTTTTAATTTTACTGTGCAAATTTAGATCCTTAATTATTGAACTACAACATAAATGTTTCATCATTTCATAATTATGAAAGACAAAACAAAAAAATTATTTTTCATTATATGTTACCCAAACTTCATACATTAATTGAAGGGAGGGAACATCAGTTATTCAACTGGAAGACTTGAGAATGATTTCAAACTCATTTGACAATAGAAAGTTGCCGAAGCAGATAAGGAATAATTGTCAATTACAATACTTAACAAAGAATTTTATTTAATGAAATACATACTAGAAGACAATTTTATCATATTCAATATTTTTTGACTAATTATTATAAATCCTTATATTTAAAAAATTATAAAAAGTCTTGGCAACAATATGTGGTAACAGTACTAGTCAAGGCACCAAATATAAAATATTGGTTCATTAAAAATGATTTAACATCAGTACATACATTTTATTAAAGCCTATTAAGTTTCTGCAAAAAAATTATGATTTATTTTTCTGCATCTGTTCCCAGAAAGCAATACTTGATTGCATTGATCGATGTGGTACAGGACTTTTTGATTCAGATGAAATTCGTGTATAACTAGAAGATGAATTCTCTTCCTCTATACCATTATCCATTCCATTGAGATGCTTGGGATTCATTTGTTTGTAAACATTTTTATTAAGAGGAACTGGCTGATTGTGCCGTAACTCTTCCCGAAACTCCTTTGATATGCTTCTAGCAGTTAGACTGTGAATCTGTCAAAAAAAATCATAACAAATTGGAAAAACTATATAATTATATATTACTTTAAAGGACATGTATTTATTTAGTATGCTTCCTATTAGCAGTAAGTTGCAAAGCTGAAACCAAAGCCTATTGAGAAAGCAAATTTCTTGGTGCAAGTTTTTGTAAAGCGAGAAGTCAATATCTGGATCAAGCATTCTATTAAGCACTTCTCTCCAGATAAATCAATCATGATTATGTCTCACTTTGACTAAAAACTGCTGCAGATTTTTTAATTGGCTAACCTCTCTCACTGGTCGAGGGGGACTCAGGGTTGATGGAACGGCCTGAGACTGCATCTTCATTTCATTGTTCCCCCACTTTTGTGGTTTCTCTGTTTTTCGCCATTGAGGTGCTGGGCTCACGCTCTACAAATTCACAGACTCTTTAGAAATCAAACTTATAAAAAAAGAAAAAAATATTAAATGTTCATTCATACATGTATACAGTATATATTCATTACAAGATATATAATATTCTTTCAATAAAAAAATAATAAATACTTCAAAAAGATAAAATGTAATGAAATTATTTAGTCTTTCAGCTCTTCATACCTTTGGAGATGCAGAAGAGTCTGAATCCACAACTCCAGAAAATCGTTTAGTTAGTTCCTTTACAGAAGGCATACCAAAGTCACTATCAGATGTTAAAACACTACTGCCACTTGGACTTTCAGATCTAGCATATCCATTGGAATAAAAGTCAGTTCCATTTTCATTGAGACTAAGTGTGCTTCCAATATTACTGTTTCTTCTAAGTGTCCCAAGAATTTCAAAACCTGCTTCTCTTCTTAGTTTTGAATCTGTTTTTGTTTTTATGAATACAGCTGACTTTTCTTCAATATCATCAAAACCATTTCTTTCTATTTTTTCAAATTCTCTTAGTCTCTCTCTTAGCTTATTTTTACTCTTTGATTTGTTATTTTCATTTTCATCATTGTCATGGTTCTCATTTCCATTACTGAGCATTGATTTATAGAAAGAAGACGAGTCAGTTTGATGATCACTGTCACTTGATGGTGAGTCTTGAGCATGTTCTTGTTTTTTATTTAAAATATTCTTGTAATACTGATCAGTTTCATTGATTTCTTTTTGCCATAGTGCAACTTTTGTTTCAATATTATTTGGGTCCTGAAAACAAAATGATATTGTTCATTACTTATTCAGGTACATTAATTGTTTAATATTTATGAAGGGCAATTGCAATAATAAATCAACATACTTGAGTCTCAGTAGAATCTTCATTAATAGAAGGTACTTCCAACTGGGCATCATTTCCTCTTGACAATTCCTAAAAATAAGAAAGGACACTCATCAATGTTTGCTTCAACATTACATGTTTTGAAATTAACATAATTTTTTAAAATCAAATTAAAAGTATTATAAGCATTTGAGAAAGAAATTCAAAGTTTATGTTTATAAGTTACTAGCAGGAAGTGGAAAAAGTAAGTTTTAAACAAGAGCTGCCATACAGTTATTTTTTCACATATCAAAAACTCATATTCAGCATCATTGGAGGAAAAATAATTATAAACACAAACAACAACAAAAATTTAGGCCTATGTGTACATATTGTCAGAATTCTTAATTTTATGAGACAGAAACAAAACATCAAGTTGTACAGCTTTAAGCAGTAAAACATCTAATAGAAAAAAAACAACTTTCTTTTAAAGAATAAAGAATTTTAAAATAATGTTCACTGTCCAAACAAACCATGTCATCTATTGTTTAGAAAACAAGCTCTTTTGACCTCATTTATTATGGAAAATTGTTAGGTGGAAAGTATAAAAAAAAAAAAATTAAAAAATGGTAAGTGAATTATATTAACATAAAGGATAGATTAGTGAAATTAGTGTTTTTAAATGGGCACATTAATAAAAATAATTATAGACATAACTACCCAATAAGAAATATCAGTAAATATTTGAATGAAATACAATGATTATCAGTACAAAAATATGTCATTTACACAATGTTCACCAAAGGCAGCTGAACTAGTTTTTTAAGAAAATGTAAATGAAAATTATTTTATGTGATTGAAATATGTAAGGTTTTTTAGGTTTTATCTTTGGTAGTTGAATACAGGAAACTAATACAGCCACAAGTAATATAACACCGACATAGAAGAACAAAATACAATTTTCGCTCTGATAAACACATTGAACAAATATACTATTCTAAGGTTAATTAACAAACAATAGATGCAAGTTGCAATGCCAGGAACATTCATGCAGTGTTAGTTGAATTTCACACATTTTTGGAGAATGTTTGATACGTATGTGTAGACCATTGTTCATAATTAAACACACCAAAATTTTCAGCTGTGACTTTACTTACCAAAAACTACAATCTCTTTACTTCTCAGCAGTTGTCTCATGCCACAATCACATGCATTTGGTACAGCAAATTTACATTACCCAACAACTGCTGGTGACAATAACTCATTACGTACAAAAAAAGGCATATTCATGAATTATGAAACTTTGAAATGAGGAGCTTAAATAACAGGTGAACAAGAAATTTGTATTATACACACTCCTTTATTACTGTTTGCTCTACATAGCACAGATTATTTGTACTAATTGACACACAGTGTGCAAAGTTTCAAAGACAAGACAAGAGCATTCTGTAAAACCTTTCTTATCACCTTTCTCTCACACTTTAAGAGTAATCTCATACAGTTCAAAAAATGTAAGCTTTATTTACAATGTTTAAACATTCATAAGTTATTAAAACATTCGTTAGCATTCATGGAACTAGCACATACATTGAGTAATTATTCCTTTCATCTCTTGAATTAAATAACAGATGTAAAAATAAAATAGAAGAGAAAATAACACAGTTGAAATCATGTGCAACAATTGCTGTAAACGTGCAAAGATATGCTTAAAGTAAAAGAATTAGACAAATTAGTAATGATACATTTGCCACACAGCATGTATTACTTAACTTAAATAATTAAATCTTATTAATACATTTTAATTTCATTTTATTCTATGTACAGAATATTTAAATAAGCAGATCATTTAAATGCCTGAGATTCAGCACATGTACTGTACAAATGTAACTTATGCCAGTCTCCAAGACATGATGTACTTAAAACTTATTTTATATTTGTAATAATAAAGAAATAAATCCTGTGTCCTTCTTTAGTTATGTCCTATTTAAATCAATATTACAAAACATCGAGAACACATGTATAAACAATACATACATAATTTCCTTTTCTTTAATACATAAAACTTCTGAATGTTATTCAAAATGTCTAAATATGTTTAATTGAATATCTATGATTTTCTTCCACCAAAACCTAATAACTGTAAAGAGGTGCAAAATGAGTATAAAACTCAAAAATACATCTAGCTTTAAGGTGACTGGCATCTGTGTAATAAAGAAGCATGCAAGGCTAAAACCAGGTGCATAAATTAAAAATATTTTGATATCATTAAAAAGAAGAAAAACTAATATATTACACTTGTTTCAGAAATAATTATTTTCAAAAAAAAGTGGAGTCATGAGCAATGTTCAAATCTATATCAGTGAACTTGATTTTTACCATAGTTCTTTTGCAGGTGTATTTCGTCTTCTGTTGATCCTAAGACTACCTCCCATAACAGAACCGCTTATTTCTTTCCTTTTGCAAGAATCAACTCTCAAACTACCAGATCTTCGAATACTGGTGAGAGACTCAAATGTCCTTTCTACCATTTGTGGCTGTGAAGGCGGGGTCAAGCGGAGTAGGTATGCAGATGGATCATTCAATGAATCTAATGAGCTGCTGTAACCAGATTCTGTACAAACGTTCTCCCGTTTTTGTTTCTTGGTCCTGACATGGTAATTTAACAGCATTTGAGATGAGAGTGCTTTGTTCTCAGGATGTTTGTTAGGAACATCATCTTCAGCAGCAGTATTGTTACTGATACATAGAACTTGACACAATTGAATTTTGTTTGGTGGAAGAGTGAACAGTGGATTTTTTTGAAATCTCTCTATTATATCAACTGAGGTGACAATAGCCAGAGAATTTGTTTCAAGTAAATCAAGTTTTTCAATCATTTGATGAGACAAGTCATAATCTTCTAAATTGAGGTCCTCAAATGGTCTGTTGTAATTACATTGTATATTATCAACATTTTCTTTCTGCTGCATGTTTTCCTTCTCTGTTTTGTACAGCGGATTCATTGTGAAATTAGGAGAAGCATGTCGAGCACGAAAAGATGAATGATATACATCCCTGTTCAATATCTGCTTCTCCAACTTAGCCACGGACAAAAATGTGGCATCACTTACCTGCTGCTGGGAAGGTTGACTACTTGTTTGTTTCTTCACACTGTTGGCAACTGGCTGAGCATTGATGTAGTAATCTCTGCCATACCTGAAGCAATAATAAATAATATTTAGTCACATTTCATTGCCCTTCCAAAAAAAACTGCAGTTATACTGTTTATAAGTATCCTAAAATTGGAACTGTTAAATTTATTTGTAATGTATACCATAAGGAATTATTCTATCACTATGCAGGCCTATATAAAAATCAATAGTGTCAAAAAATTTCAATAAAATCAATTAGTACAAAAATCAAAAATGTTTCCTTCCATAGAATAGCAAATAATTTGCATTTGCAAATAAATTATAGATTTGATTTTATATTATTACTGTAAAAATTACCATTCGGCAGCAATGGTGTAACAGTTAGCATATTGGACTGTTATACCCAAGTAGGCGGGTTCTAATCCGATCGAAACCGTGGATTTTTAAGTGCAAAAAATCCTTTGTACGCATTCCTTCAGAGGGAAATAAAGCCAACTGTCCCATGTTAGTAGATTTACTTGCATTAGAAAGATCCTCAAGCCTAAATGACGCCTCTGAGCTAAATTCCAATCGCCTGTTTCTCGCCCAAGAAGTACCTCCTCTCTGCTAGTGAAAGGAGCATAGCCAAATTTGTGTGGTCAGATGGAAGAGCGGGCCTGATGGCCCGAATCCCACCACGAAAAATAAGGCATCAATTCAATTCAATTCTAACATTCAAACATTTGTCTATTTGGTCACAATGTTATGTACAAATTAAAGATAATGCGTACATATTTTGAGATATTGTTTACAAAATTTATTCTTCCACATGCACAAAAGGAATAATTAATTTACCTTTTGAAGTCAACATCACTTGGGCTACATATTACTTGCAATGGCTGCTCCACAACTTTCTCTGCAAGAACTTCTTTTGACTCTAAAAACTCCCTGCAAAAATCAAGGAATTCTTAAATGTATTTAGTTAATTTAGTGCAATCATTATTTTTATTTTATGCATTGAAATAAAATCTAATCTCACATTAATTTTATGGAGGGTTTTTCAATCACTTACATTAATGCTTCACTACTACTATCTGTCCGAATGTAGGGATGGTTTTTATTTAACCTTTTAATGATGTTTTCTGAAGAATATGGATTATTTGGTATTGGTGGTGCTGTTTCCCATTTTTTGTGTTCACGTTCAGCTATTGTACCTAGAAAATTAAATTAATATAAAAAGTTAGGCTGTGAAATTTCTTTTTGAATTGAGATCTTCACATAGAGTGAGTATATACATACACACACACATGTGCATGCACATTCATTTATGTTTTGAAAGTATGAAATAAAATATGAATGCTCCTTTGGGATAGCAAATAGTAAGAAAATACCATAAAATTTGATATGTGTAAATTATAGATCTAGATGATTGCTTATTGTTCATTAACCTTTTGAGTGCATTTCTTTTATAGAAATTCAAGGTTGAATAATGCATTCTTCTTTCCTAACAAAAATTAGGCATTTTTATAGAATTTACTTCCCCTTCATTGAACATGCTGAACCTTGTGTAATACATTTCAAGCAAAGATGCAATTAATGAAATGTTCTGTGCAAAAATTTTTCTTTAAATTTGAATTGAATCCTTTGTTTTGTACCCATTAGTTCTGGAAATACACAATTGATTTTTTAGAAATATTAGAATCAAAAGAGGAAATGAATGGTAAAAGTAAGGGTGTAGGTACATCAGTAGCACGCTTCAACTAAATCTCCATATACCAAAAGAATTGAGGATCGAGTGGTGTACTTGTGAGTTCCACTGGTTTTGGAACACCATTCCAGTATTGCTTTTTAGGTGCCTATTGTAGTGCCTTTTGGAAAATTGTGGTCTGCTATAAATATAAAATTAAATGTACTGATTCTTGAAAATTTATATGCACCTGCATCTTTTAACTTTTGGATCTACTTTACCTAAAGACTCTCAAGACATTTTCAAATTTTTCTCAAAATTACTTCAAATTTTTTCTTGAACTTACCCCTTAAATAGAGCAAAGTTCAATCAATAATATGGCTAAGGTCTGATTTTAATTAAAATCAATCTTTTTGGAAATTTCAAAAGTTCAAATTATTTTTGATACTCATTATCAAATATAGAGATGACTTTCATAATGCAATGCAATGTATATTCACTTAATATTATACCTTGAACCACATTTCATGTAAACTTTTTTCAAAACATTCATGTAATATTTAGTTACAGTCTTATATGCTTTATCTTTAAATTGACATTAGCGTTGGCTTTTTAAATGCAAAACATTCCCTGATAATAGATCTTTAAATTATTTCATGAAAATTTTTTAATCAAATAATAGTACTTTTTTGCGTAATTTTGAGATATGTATAATATTACTTGAGTTTTTGAAGTAATAGCTAAGGCATTAGTAGGACTGAAATTGCAAAATTATAAAATTAAGTAACCTTTAAATGTGTACCCTCAGTTAATAATGTCTTCCAAATTTTATTTACTAATTGATTCTCTGCAAAAATATGAATCACATTCATTATTGAGTATAAATAACTAAAATGGGCACACATGCAATATGCAAATAACTAATTATGTAGGAGTATTTTCAATTATTCTAATACAATGTAATTGGCAAGCACTAACACTTCTAAGATTTATAAACATTATATATGAAATTGAAAACAATGAAAAATAAACCTAAAGATATGACAAATGCACTAGGCTGCTACCAGTTCATTGAACAGTTTCAGATATTTGAAATTATTAAAGTAAAAGATAAAATGAATAAGGCTTATACTTAGGAAAAATAGTGCATGAAGGGCAGAGCAGTACCTGCAGCAGGAAGAGTGCAGTATTCATCATCTAAATGATCAGTACCTGGTCGTGGAGGCTTTGTCAATTCTATACTACCCAGTGAAGTTAAAGACAGTTGGTCTGTGTCAGATTCTCCTGGTACAAGACCATCCAAAATGGCAACTACAGATTCATCAACAGTAGATGTATCTGAGCTGGAAAAAAGTAAAAATAACATTGTAAAACTTCAAATACAAAATATTTTCTCATTAAACATGAATTCTCATGAATACATTTCTTTATGAAAAATAGTTTGGCAAATTAACATTCTTAACTTACTTCAACTGGGGAATAGGTGTAGAGGGTAGTTCTGGTACTTCCGTAGTGTCAAGATCACTCATAGCTGTCAAACTATCCATTTGTCGTCGAGTGACAGCTGCATAATCTTCAGTATATTCACCTTCTTGCTGCCCAAACTCAGATAAACAATCTTCAGCTTGAATAAAAAGTAATACCATTACTTTGCAAGTAACAATAATATTTTCAATTTGTGTTTAAAACATTTTGTAATATTCAATTGTATAAATAGCTGTTCATTCTTTCTCGTTATTCTCATTGGATTACGCATGAAACGTAAGGTTTTAAACTGAAAAAACCTAGTATATACACTATTTCCAAGTTTTCAAGAATTGTAATGGAAATATAATCATTCATAAAACTTACCAAGAAAAGAATATTTTTTTCATATTTACTCACTTTGAGAGAAATATAATAAATTAGTATATCTGTTGAAAAGGTAAGACAAATAATGAACAAACAAAAATGTGAAGTTAGTTATGAAATTATAGGAATGGACTAAAGTTTTCAAATGGAACATCTTGGCTTTTGTGGCTATTGATTGATTGATTTGATATTGAATTGATTTTCTTGTTCGTAGATAATTAAAATCATAGTTAATATTTAACTAGACTCCACTGAACATTATCGATCTTATCCATAAATCCAATAGAATGGCTTTAAAATTGTAAATGTCAAAATCAAATATCACAAACACCTTGACCTTGAAAGATGATCACTAATTTGATACATTTCTTAAACAAGCTTGTCATTTAATTTGCTATCTGATCAAATATTACTTATGAAAAATTACTTACTTGATTTAAGGTATTCCATATTCTTTGCTTCTGTCAATTCTCTTATGTCATATGTTGCTTTTTTATTATCTTCATTCATGATCATTCTTGCTTTATCTGCATGTTCACTGCTTGCTTCACTTGTTTTTGCAGGGTTAACATCTTTCCTTGAAGATAAGTGATTATCATATAAAGTGCTAGCTACATTTTCTTGAGTGTTCAAAACATTTGATGGTGTAGTTGCAGTCACAGGAATTGAGCTGGTATCTTCTTCTGCAAGAACTACATCTTCAAGAGCTCCATCACTACAATCTGACAAATCTGAAACGTCTTCTGCATCACGGTCCCCAATTAAAGCTCTATAATCTTCACTAGGATTTGGAACCAGCATGGGCACTGGCATAGGCTGAGGAACTCCCCCGACTTTTAGGCGACGCTTCTGGAACAACCAGTTTTCTTCCCATGAGTCAACAGGGTTGATAATATCTGTTGGTTGCATAGAGTCTTCATCTTCTGATGCAACTTCATCTTCACCTTCTTCATTATCAGACAACTCCAAAGGGGGTCCTATGAATAGATGAAATACATTGGTATTGTTAAATATTATTTTTAAGAGCCCTATGATAATTATTAAAAATATATTTGAAAAAAAATAACAAACAATAATTTTCATTTTAATTTTTTAATATTATACCATCAATAATGTCTCTTCCATATTCAGGAAATGGTGCTCGCCTATTCTTGAAAATATCCAAACCAGGTAGATAAGAATCAGGATCAATATCATTTTCTTCTTCATCAGCATTGCTGAATGTTGTGACTTCTTCAATGCACTCTTCAATCTTTGAGTTTAAGACAGCAAAATATTAGACACATTTTTTTAGCTTTAACGTCTCACAAGTTTTAGAGATGAAAAAGTACTTACTGTGACAGAAAGGGGATCGTTATTACTTAAATCACTCACAGAATCATAATCATCAGAACTTCTCATATGACTTACTCCTGATTCAGAGTAACCTTCAGTTTGGAAAGGAAAAAGAGCAATTTTATTTCAAACATGGCTTATAAGATCATTTAGTAATGTTTATAATAATACACGGGGAAAAAATACACATAGTTGTGCTCATGGGGAAGAAATACAAATAGTTATTTTACTTTCTACATATGTTGTTTCTTTCTGCTGAATTAATTAATGATGGTTAACTTCAAAAACCATTTCTGCTGCATAAATATGACAGGTATTAAATTTACATTGCTGACATTAATTTTATCAATAAAGAACAGTATCTTCAGATTGCTTTTTATAATATATATTACTATAATTTTTTATCTCTTACTTACTGAGAAGTCTTGGTTGATACATGGCTACTAGAGACATGAGTTCTGGAGATAGAAGATTGCTATTGCCATCCAAAGAAGCTCTACCAGAAGAATCCCTCTGCTGATAACGTTCGATCACCTGCATCAGTATGCAACTATTAGCTTCTCTTCTGCAGTGGAAGAGTAAGATATTTGAAACCTCTCTAAAGCCTCACAAGTTGCCCTGAATTTCAATGGCTTCTCATCTCCCTTGTTTCTTGACCAGAATTACAACTTCCCTAACATGAAATGGACTACTAATTCAAGTATATACACAATGACATGTTCATAGACATAACTGGGATTTAGCTAATGCAAAAACCTTACGTACTTTGTTGAGAATAGCAGTCGCCAAAATATCTTCATATGTCTTGGATTCCATGTCTCCTAGTGACTTCATGTCATCTTCTGTGGGTTTTACTCCCTGAAAAGAGGAACTTTTTGTAGAAAAAATGAATGGAAAGACAGAAAATTATTCAACAATTAAAACAAAATTCTTACATTAAATTTTGGGAGAACCATTGCTTCTTGTATTATTTGATGAACCAACTGCTTCAAGGCTGCATGAGCAGCTGAAGGTGAATCTTGGGCAGCCATGTGCTTATCTAAAAAAAGTTTAATTTCTGTGATGTGTACATCCTACAAAAATAAACTATTTTTAAAATTTTCCACCCAGATTATGTCATTCTTCATCATTCAAATGCAAGCTTTATTGTTTAAACCAAAGCCACCAGCAGTGCAGCTTCCCTTTATAAATGTATATACAGTCACCCACATCATCCATTCTCTCACAAGAAAATATGAAACAGACGCCACTTACTGGCAATGGCCATCTGCAAAGCAAAGGAGAGTCGCGCAAGGGCCTCACATAGAGGGGCGTGATGGCAGGCAAACATGCGGTCATCTGCAACAGCCCACCCTGTGTTAGTATAACCCACCCATTAATGCAGTAATGGTTTGTCAAGTTATTTATTTTTCATCAAAGCCACCATAAAAACTGCATGTGACATATGGTGGATGGGCAAGAGGGGGGTAGAATTCAATTTGCACACATTTTCTTGAGCTCCTCAATCCTTATTTTCTCTCTTTTAGTGTTCACAGTAGTATTGCTAATGAAGTAATGGGCATGATAACATTGGGCAACAAAAATGCTTGCTCTTATTTAAAGAGACTTATTTGCAGTAGCAAACAAGCTATACATTTGATTTAAAGATACTTCTAACAAAATACTAACTGCTTACACCTCTCACTTTTCGCAAAATGAGAGCTCAAGAAAAATGTGAGTAGGTAGTGAATTTAATATATTCACAGTCTAGAAGCAAAGCAAAGGTCTATCTCAGAAACAGGGCAAAGGAAAGTGAATAAAAAAAACTGATCAATATTGTTTGAAAAATGGGAAATATGCGAACAAAGATGAAATAAAAATTTCAAATGATTTTCAATCTTTTCTTTAAGAAAGAAATCACAATGTCAATCAACAATGGGTAGCATGTTCTAGAAACTATCACAAAGGAAACAGGAACATGCTTTGCTGACATCATCATAACACAAATAGAAATCATATCTGGTCTCATTATATCATGTCCCACAACCATTACTGCTTTGATGTTAGTCCGTCATTCAGCATTTGATTCATAATAGCAAGGTGTGCAAGCTAAATCTGAATCAATTGCTGACATAATATTTCAATTTAATGAATTGTGTGATGTGCATTCATTTAGCATTCCAAATCCCACTCTCATTCTCAGTTTTTAAGTTGTAGAGGATACTTACATTCTGGATGAGAGTGCAAGCGTTTGATACACACATTGTCAAGTTCCCCAGACAGTAAGGACTCGACTAGGCTTTCAATGAACTCGCGCACTCGTACGCTCTCTGGCTCCATGCCCACTCCATTCTCAGTACCTGAAAAATAGTTTCTTGACACTAATTTTTTCATAATAATTCATTTTATCTGCTGCACTCATTTAGTCATATCAAGCAGGGTCTGTATACTACACTAACGGAAAGTAACATTATTGACAAATTTAGTTAAATATATTAAAATATTATTAATAAATATACAAATTAATTTTAATTATCTTCACTTTATTGAAAAACAGCAAGCCAATGAGTTAATGACTACCACACAAATGTTGACTTTACAACTTATGTCAAATTTTCAGAGTTTATTAGTATATTATATCTCTAGACAAAAAGGTACAACTTCATATTTAAACATTTAAATATATTGTGTCAATAAACTATTTGCTTGTCATCATCACAATACATTTTAAAATGTGCTCTATTCGTCATTTTAACATGGATTTAACATATTTATGGAAATAAAATGTTTTATTGTTTAAAAGTCCTGGGGTCCCTTTCAAAATTTTCAGGGCCTTTTTACTTTATCGCCTTTACTTCGTAAAAAGAGACAGTATTGTAAACGTACGCCGGAAAACGGCGAATTTTTCATCACAAATACTCCTTATGAGTAACGAAAAAGTGGATAAAGTACTTCGTCTAGCACGTTTTGATTGGCGGCAAAACGTTTGTCTGTCTCTGTCTCTCTCTCTCCCTCTGTCTGTCTCTCCTGTCTCTCTCTCCGTCTCTCTGTCTCTGTCTCTCTCTGTCTCTGTGTCTCTCTCTGTCTCTGTGTCTCTCTCTGTCTCTGTCTCTCTTTCTGTCTGTCTGTCTCTCTCTCCTCCTCTCTCTCTCTCATCTCTCTCTCTCTCTGTCTCTGTCTGTCTGTCTGTCTGTCTGTCTGTCTGTCTGTCTGCCTGCCTGCCTGTCTGTCTGCCTGTCTGTCTATCTGTGGTCAACGCTAGCGCAAAATCCGTTAAGTTGATATTCTCCATCATTAATATTCCTCAATTTCTTTAAAGAAACTCAAGGCTCGTAGGCTAGTTTTTTTGTAAATAGAATCTGTTCCTTTAAAGACAGATCTTGAAATAAGGTGTACAAATTTTCAAGAACATTACCAGTTTTAAGCGTAATTTTATTTGAATTACACTAAATTTTAATTTTTTTTAACAATTGATTTCTCAAAAACGGCTTTGTTTCTTTAAAATTTCTCCTCGGATGCGTTATAATAATAATAATAATAATAATAATAATAATAATAATAATAATAATAATAATAATAATAATAATAATGTCTTTATTAATGGCGAGGCTCAGGCCATAGGGCCTGCTCTTCCGCCTAACCACTGAATTTACATACATTTAGAATAGTAACATTTTAAGAGGGGAGGACAAGCTGTACATTTACGTCTGGGAGAACAAATCTAGGGACCATCCCGGCATACGCCTTAAGCGATTGAGTAAACCCAGAAAAACCCCCATCAGGATGGCGGCTTAGGGCCGAACATCAATAGTACCGAGTAAGTTGTACATAGTAGTGAAAGGGAAGTTTCGTGAAAGAGAAAAGACGTACAGGGGAAGGGGTCAACATGTAAAAATGATAAAATTTGTGAGGGAGGGGGAAGAGAAAAGAAGCGAAGAAAAGGACGAAGAACAAGTAGGCATTACAGAAAGCTACGATTGGTTTACAGTAGCACTTTACATAAATATACAATAATTTTCACACCAGAGAAGCACAGTACACTATAAGCAAATAACAGTAAATTTAAACACAATACTGACACTATTAAGAAACAATACAAAGAGTGCGGGTATCTTAACATCAATTTTGTTTATGCCAATATATTGTCGAAAATATCCTGATGATGGCACAAAGTTAGCTACAAGTATATTTTATCTGGAACGTCACTAATAATTTTGTATATTTTATTAACAATTTCATTAGAGTACACAGAAAAATAGTAATGCTAATAATTTAGGTGTAAGAGGGAATGGAAGATGAGGATAGAGCAATGAGGTATGGGGTAGAATATTGAGAATAGAGAGGGGGAAATAGAGGGCGGTGGCCGGGCGCTTGGAGGTGGAGAAGTATGGAGATTGAAGAAGACGTTAACGCCGTTCTATATGTCCTTATTTCTTACCCATGTGGTTAATTCAATTTTGAATTTACCGAAAGTATTTGAATGTTTTAGTCTCGCTGGTAGTTATAGTCTCGCTGGCCGTTATAGGATATTATGTACAAAATATTGCTATTCTCATTACCGGTGACCTCTATATTCGAAAATTACAAAAAGTTAGCAATTTAAAAGAACAATGTTGAGGATAAAGAATTTTGCCTTAAACAAAGTCTTCTAAAAAATACTCTCTTCAGAAAAGGTAAATTCTATTTTCTTAAAGAAAAAAAAGAAAAAAAAAAAAAAGAAACATGTCATTTTTGTGTAATTTCTGCTTGAAATCAATTCAGTTTATAGAAGGAAAAATAATTTCTTAAAAAACTTTCCAATTTTTTAATCAAATTCTTACCACGGATGAAATAGGGGTCACTTAAAACAATGTCGCAGATTTCATTTTCGTTGAACTCTGAATTTCCGAAAATTGCAAATTTATAAATAATACGTCCGTGCCTTTCACTCGTCTGCAAAATCTATTTCACTTTTATTTTTACTTTTCCGTATACGTACGTATATACGCAGTAATATAGTAAAGAGAAAGTTATGTAACGCTGCGGAAAATCGAGATTTCAACGGAAATACACGTGTCCGTCCGTCCGGCGGTCAATATCAAAAACATTTACTTTGGGCGGCGATAAATGGCAGCTGGCAAGAGTACGTGGCAATTTTGAATACTTGCCGAGACCAAAGAAATAGAAATACAGGAAAGTCTGTACCATTTGTAGCACCACTAGGTTCTCCAAGCATTTGCGCAAATACGGCCCAAATATTGTTCACCTTCCTTAAAAAAGGATCACTGCATCTGTTTTACTTTTGTCGAAAGCGTATTCTTTGTGGTTATTTTGTCTCCATTTGTTTACTTAAGCTCATTGTTTTCGATTTATGTTTACGAAATATTTTTAAAATAAACGTGTATTTCCGTTAAAATCTCTACATCAATTTTTGCGAAGCTTAATTTTCTCAAAACTACGTAATAACTTCGTGTACGTACACGAAGAAGGAAAATGTATTTCTCTGCCGAGGAGATACGACGCGACGAAAAGACCCCTAGGATTGTTTTCTAGTGTAAAAAAATCAATAGAAAGACTCCATTTGCATACAAACTTTCAATGATATTTCGTCTAATATTCGCGAAATTACCGATTTGAAAATTTATTACAGAACTTCAAACTGGTCATCTTTTTCCTTCGCAAGGTTCTAAGGAAATGAATTGCGCAAACGCCTATCGTATAATTTCGGCATTACATTTTAGAGCCATGTTGGCGAACACAATCATCTAAGTGGTGGATTTTGATTGATTAATCGGTTATTTTGCGTTTCCGGTCTTGTCAATCGATATGGACGAGAATCCGGAAGGTATGTTCTTTAGAATGCACTAACGTTTAATACAAATTTTACATTTTTGGTTGTAACAGCATATCAGAACATAACAACATAATCGAAACTTATCGAAACATGATGAAAAATTTCCGTTTAACGCAATAAAATGTTTTAGTTTTTTGACGTTAAATAAACACTATTAAAAATATTTGTCATAAGAATTATCACGAATCGATCAGTAAATTAGAAATATTTTAAAATTGTCTTCCATTAGTTATCGAACAAGACATAATTGAATACATTAGTGTGCTCGGGGTCTTCAAATGTTGTTTACATGGGATATTTCCCAAGGCTTCTTGGCGTTCAAATGTAGCGCTGCGGAAGCACGGAATATCCTGCGATGTGGTGCTGTCACTTGTTCCTATCGCGCTCTGATTGCAAGTTGCAGCGAAACTTGACCTCTCTCTCCCAGAGACTGTGAGACCGCTTTGCATGACGTGGAAATACCTGAGCATCGACGTTGGGTTCGTTTCCACTACCTCCATTATTCTTTCAGAGGAAGGGCTTTTTAAATCTCTGACCACATCGCCTTTGGCGCCAGAAGAGAAAAGATACTCCCCAGAAACAGACGATTCTTCAATTTTTGGTTGAAGAGTCGAGCAATAAAATTTTAATAACAAGGGATTGGAATACAAGGTGTCGGAAGTGAAAGTGTATTTGGATGAACTATTTATTGCTAAAGCTATTAGACATTCTTGGAGCGAAATGATTGGATGTTCTTGTAACTGCGTGTTTGTTTTTCGCTGGAAATGTTTGATTTGTTATGTATCAATTACTCGAGTACATGAAGTTAGAATACGTAATGTATTCTCCGATTTAAAGAGAGCTGCAGTAGGTTGGAAACATCTACTCTAAAGATACGATAAAACGTCTTGTGGGACATTTACTTTCTGAGCTACTAAGCGCAAAACCTGAAATATTTGGCTTTTTTAAAGTCCCGTTGGTTTATATTTTCTATTGCCTTCAAATACATAATCAGTTGTTTATATCCCGTTTCAACCACGTTTTAAGAAATCTTAGATGTGTTAGGTTGAATGATGAAGTGGTTCGTCAGAGCAATTGTTCAACGAAGTATGGAAAGGGTTATGTAACATATGTGAGAAAGAACGTGCCACGATAATGCAGAACTTGGAAAGATAATTAACTGTGGAGAACCATTATGAATTTTTCTCCTTTATCTATTTACGTATTCAATGACAAAATGTCTACAATCAGTTAGATAGTCGTGGGAAGTTCCAAACATTCTCATCATAACAGACCGCTTCTTGGACACATCTTGTATCGTCAGAGACCCACGCACTTCCTTCCTACCCGACAAACCGCAATTGATACCACATAATTATCTAAGATTTACAACTATGGAAGACCTATTTAATTAAAACAGTGGTTGGAATTATTGCAATTGATTAACGTGCATCCTCCCATCAGCTCTCAGAGTCAAGGTAAGGGAAGAGTCGAAGTAAGGGAGATTCATAACTAGAAGTCTGGAGAAGAAAAGCTTAAACGTAATTATTGATAATTTAGGGTGAAGGATATACTGAAGAATTTTCAACGAGCTAGAATATACTAGATAGAGTGCCTGTCCCTATAGTTTCAGCGCTCTTGGTGGAGACTCGCCGAACGAGTGGCCGCCATTGTTTTGAAGTCCGAACATACGAGTGGCGGTGTTTCGTAGTCCCGTCCACAGTAACCCTGTGAAGAAGGATAATTTATTTTCTTTAAATTATGTACATTATACTGCTGCCTTGCGGCTTAAGCAGCTAGAGGAGGGGCTTTTTCTTACAGCTAAGTGTTAACTTACTTGCATTTGGCATTACTAACTTACACTGAGATCAGTTTTGTTATTACCACATAAATTGTTATTTTACGGGTGAGATATTTTTTCTTTTTCTCTACATTCACATATCATTAATACTAGTTTCAATATATACATAACCATTCATTCTTCCCACTCATTCGTAGAGTGGCGGTGTAACCGTCCGTAACCTGCGACAAGCGTAATGCTCTACTGTGATTTTTGCCCCTGGGAGGTATCAGTTGTTGACAGTTTCATTCAATCGGATACTTAAACGTCAACAAACGTCACAATTGTGACGTTGAAGCTCTCGATTGGATGAAACCGTGAACAGCCGAGACCTACCAGGGGCAGTGTTGCATAAATCGCAGTATAGAAAACTTTGTTTCCAAGAGGGCGCTGCTTTGGCGGCAAAAAAACATTTCTTCAATTTGCTTCAGAGATGGAGGTGCTTCAGCCACTCTATGTAGTATATTCTCTAGCTCGTTGGGAATTTTACTCTTTGTTACATTGGCCTGCTATTTGTGAATTCTACAAGAACCTATAGTCTCTTTGTCTCAGATGTAACAAGAAGATAATTCAAATAAGTGTGAAATAACCCTTCTCTACATGATCTGAATTCATTTTAATTTTTACTTCTTTTTTTATTTTCTAGTCGAAGATCTCGTTACAGAATTACTATTTCTCCAATGAACTACATTGGCAATCAAGTATATTCGCCTTGAAGATTACCATCTAAATTTCTGTAATAAAGATAAGATATTTTAGTTTTCGAAGGAGAGAAAAAACGTATATTTTTGAAAAAATGTTCCAAGAGAATGTAGTTGACAAGAAGCGAGCGTATTAACCTACAGTATATTTTTGTATGTGTGGCATTCAAAAAGTCTATTAAACATCCTCCTTTAGGCAGAACTTCCCAAAAGGCAGAACTCGGGCTACGTCCCACCTGATTTGTATTTTGTTGATCCGCATTAAAATAACCAAATGTGAAAAAAATGAATCAATAAAAATGTTGGAGAATTGAAAAATAGTTATTTACGTAACTAGTACAGAAAAACAGTATTTGGCGCCCGAATGAAATGTTGACGGAGGAGGCAATATTAGTAACCAATTCGTGATTTTAAGTAGGGTCGATGTGGCATTATAAGATACGTCAAATACACTTTCGTGCGAGGGGTATACATTACCTTTTAGTATAAATTCATGGAATCGTACAAGAGTACATCCTACAAATTAATAAAAAATCACAAGTATACTTGCATTACTTTTTTTAGAAAGAATTTAGGGAAACTTACAAGTATATACCAATTTAGGGATGTGTCTTTATCACGAAGTCTGTCGTGGTCTAATCTACGAGACGGCAGCCGTGTTAATTCTTGTCCAAGTCTATTGTTCTTTTTCAGTGTTTAAACTTTGGCTCCCTGTCAATCTCATATATCAGTATTTTCAATATTAGTCGCACTTTGGAAAATTAATTGAAGTATAGCCTAGGATTTTAATCATAATATCGGTTGCATTCTTTTGGTAGGAGATTGATCGGAAATGTATTAATCATTCTGTACTTGGAAAGGAGTAATGATTATCGTCAATAAACTTCGAATGCAAGGAGCTTTCTAACGACACGTAAGAAGAAATACCTTACTGGAATAATGAAACATTATGTACACACCTTTCTGATTCTTTGCCAATTGCATGTGGAGTTCTGCAGGGATCGATTTTAGACCTTATTCTCTTCCTAATGCGTTAACGATATGCCCTCGACGATTAGTAACGGACATACGTATGAATGGAGATTGTTCTTTTGCGTGTTTTCACGTGTTGCTTTCACGTGTTTATGAACCCTTGACTTTGACATTTTTTCACGGGAAAATGCCATTGCTGAAACCAAATACTAGTTTTTATGACATCACGAAGGCAGGCTATCTAGATCATTACTAAGCGGCGGATTTTAATGAAATACCATTTTTTTTTGGTTTTCATTTTAGAACAATGTCGTTTAGTATAAACATTTCTTTTATGTGAAATGACCTACTTTTATAGGTCATTTTTTTTGCATTTTTCGCCGATTTCGACTAATAAGTAACAAATTTTATCATTTATACTTTTTGATCCCTTCCCCTGTACGTCTTTTATTTTCTCTTTTACGAAACTTCCCTTTCACTACTCAGTATAACATACTCAGTCCTATTAATGTTCGGCCCTAAGCTGCCATCCTGATTGAGGTTTTTCTGGGTTTACTCAATCGCTTAAGGCGTATGCCGGGACGGTCCCTAGATTTGTTCTCCCAGACGTAAATGTACAGCTTGTCCTCCCCTCTTAAAATGTTACTATTCTAAATGTATGTAAATTCAGTGGTTAGGCGGAAGAGCAGGCCCTATGGCCTGAGCCTCGCCATTAATAAAGACATTATTATTATTATTATTATTATTATTATTATTATTATTATTATTATTATATTGTAATGTCAGTCGTTGTGAGTAATGTGTAATCTAGGGTTCCTGTGACGCCTATTGTCAGTTCGGTCGATTTCGCGATAAATAAAGGCAGAGATTTTCTTTTAAAGAACAGTCCAACCAAATGTTTGCAAGCTGAATTTACTTGAACAAAAGGAAGAAGCATCCATTACATTAGTAACATACCCAACAGGTTAAGATATTCATCTGAAGTGGTTTTGACCATAATTTTACGTCATTTTTCTTTGTTTTAGGGCACTTTTAAAGTATTTTAAGAGCATTTTATTGATCATATTTGGTAATGTTTAGCTCATCAAAATTCGCCCCTAAGCATTACTTACGGTATTTGGATTCTAAATATACTAATTAAGTCTACGCACATCGACAAAAATAATAAAAATAAAAGAAATCCGAAAATTCTACCAACTTTCATTTTTGATTTACTTTCTTTGTTTAGACCAGCTGAGAGTCCTTGAAAGCCTTATTTTGCGTGGGTAACTTTCCTTCACTAGAAATGAACGCCGAACAATCTTGTCTCCCATGATAAATTGATGGAACTAGACCTTTCAATTAATATTTTCTCAGCCTCCTTCTATATCAAAGCGCTTGCAGGTAGAATGGTTGATGCCACGGAAAAATAATTAGCTGGGAGGATAACTTTTAACTTTATTAGCTATTAGTGCGGAGTGGATGATAGCTGATGAACGATAAGTTGTATACATTTGTGGAGTAAAATATGTAATAATATATGTAGTATACAAAAAGTTAGGTATTGTTGCATAAAATCGATTTCGAGATTTTAACGGAAATACACGTTTTGGTATTCTCTGATACAAAAAAAAAATATTATTATTTTTTTCAAATTGTCCGTCCGTCCATCTGTAAACAACAGTAGTACCTATTATTACAACATTCTTAGAGTTGACGTTAGTAGATATTGACGATGATTAACCCTAATTTTCTAACAAATTGTTGAAAAAACGTGTTAGGGAACGGAGCGAAGCAACTAAAAAGCATGCGGAGTTTTAAAGGCGCTTCCGGAGGCGATTCGTTCGATTTGGCAAGAAGATTCATACGGCTATATTTCTAGTTAAATATTTCTACAATATTTTGTGAAAATTCCAGAAAAATACTTGTATTGTTGAAACATTGCGGATTACTCTACTGCTTTTCCATTTTCATGTGAATTCTTAGAACATGATTCATTATCTTGATGACAGTTTTGTGAACACGTTAACGATAGTTAAACATACGAATGCAATGAAACGCGATTTTTTTTTTAAAAAAATCTCGACACTTTTTCATGTACCACTCCTGTTTTTTAAGATTGACAAGCCACTCTATTGGTTTAATTTTTGTTTACTTGCGTAACACAAATAAAATTGTCAACATGAGAATACTCGTCCCCGGAGGCGCTAGCTAAGCTAACATTAAATAAACGGATTATTTGCTTGTTTGAAACCATGAATCGTCGCCAATCGATATTAGAAGTTTCGATTCTTGACGTGTGCGCAAATATTAGGGAGTTTGCACCATCGAACGTTAAAACTATCGAAAGCATCACTTTTGCATCTGCGCATGCGTCGAAGATGAAGATTTCAGTCGATTGTTGCCCGCTAAGGCGTGCAAAATCTTCCTGTTGATTCGTTCTGGTATTGGTATCGATACCAAATCGATTGAATCTTCCCATAGGCTACTTACTGCACAGCCTGCGGTCGGAAGACGTTGGATGAAGGCGGCGCTGCACCTGCCGGAACAGCCACTCCTCCGACTGCTGCTTCACCTCCCTGCGACAGAGGAGCGGAGAGAGACGTTACTCGAGAAAGTCGCAACTGCTGACGCCGGGAGACGCACAGCATGAAGGCGCGCATTCCCCGTCCGACGCGGAGCACGGCGGCGCTCGGCCGCGCTCGACCGTGCTCGGCGGCGCTCGGCGGCGCGACGGAGTGGAGGCGTTGCCCACCCCGCCGCCCGGTCGGCGCGCTCTCCGCGCGAGGTGGCAGGTTTAATACTACATCGCAGTTGAATTTTGTAGTTATCATCCCTTCTGTGGAAAGCGCCACCAGGCGCATTAGGGTTAGGGAAGGGAAATGAGAAACTAACTTGAAGCATCACCGGTAGCGTACTAGCAAGCGCCTTAGCCTCGAATTGGCATGATCGTGGATTCGTGTCTGGACGTAAAAATCGTCGAAAATTATATGTTGCTCAGACTGAAGAATCTTGTACGTTAACATGGTCAGAAAATCTGAACTTTGGCCTCAACTTGTAAATGCATAACGTAGTTTCAACTACCTTTCAAGAAACTACGCATAAAATACATTGAACAGTATGCCTTGCACAGGCTCAACCATGTTTTAGGTCAAAGCGAGGGGTGAAGCCTCGAGCCTCGTCCTCAACTTGGAAATGCGGAGCGAAGCGTCATTTAGCATCTATAAGTGAATCGCGTTGCGAATCAAGAGAGGTGGAGTCTATTGGATGGCACTTTCTCTGATAGTGTCACAATGAACGGCTGGAACGAGAATTAAAATTAGACTGCGATTTAGAATTATGCCGGTTGGAACCCGCTTCGCGCCACGCGGTGACGCGTTGCGGACTCAAGCGGGCCAAAACGGGCGCGTGGCACAAAGGAAATACACAGATAAAACAATACATACGTGAAAATATAAGGTGAAGAAGAAAATGTAGGAGTAGAAGGGGAATAAAAGGGGGCTAAGGGAAATAGGAGAAAGATGAGGAGGAGGAGGAGGAGGAGGAGGAGGAGGAGGAGAAGAAGAAGAAGAAGAAGAAGAAGAAGAAGAAAGAGAGGATGGGAGAAAAAAGGGCTGAAGAAATAAGAGAGGGAGGAGGGTACGGGATAGAAGGAAGCAAGAGGGAGTGGAGTTTACATTTGTAAAAGGTTTTTCATTTGTAGAATGATATGTTTCTTGGGAACGAGACAAAATGCTCCGAGCTCTTTGGGGGGAATCGGGGAATTGTGCAGTGCGTGAGCAACGGTGGATCAGGAGGCACCGGATTGGGCGAGCGTGGGTTAAGGAACGTGCTATGCTAGCTGCGCGTGGGTGGTATCAGAAAGGCGGGGGAGGCCAAACAAGGTGAGTGCGAATTGTAATAAGAGAGCGGAGTGGGGGCAGGTTTAGATAAATGAGATTGTGCGGAGCGGCGGGATAAGCGCTGGTTGCAACGAGGTGGGGGTGTGAGGATCTGATTACGAGTGTGTGTGTGTGTGTGTGTGTGTGTGTGTGTGTGTGTGTGTGTGTGTGTGAATGCCCGCAAAAGGCTCACGCAATGCAGTAAAGTCTGGTGTGTGAGAACCAAAGTGACAGTGGTAGCGGTGGAGGAGCAAGGAACGAGACCCGGCTCGAGAATGCAGGGTGGATGTCGGGAAAAAGCGGAAACTTAGAGATCATGGGGAAACGTTGAAATCGGGCGGGAATGTTGGGGTGGGGGAGAGCTGTTGGAATTGGATTGGTACGTGGAGCGTTGATAAGGCGGAAAGTTTGAGTGCGCGTGAACGCCGGGGGTGGGCGGATCGCCACGTTGAGGGCGGTGGGGAGAAGCGGCATGGGAAAGTTCGTGGTGGATGGGTGTGGGTGTAACCGGTCGGCAGTGGCAGTCGGGGCGGGGTGGCATGCGTCCGGCGCTACGCTTTGGGAGCGAGTGCGTTGCGTTCCCACAGCCAGCGACGCCCCCATCGTGCCGCTCGTTCCCGCAGAGCCGCTGCGGCCTTTTCTCATGCGGTCGAGGTTCCCCAAGCATGCTTTGCCCTGAGTTCCTTTGTGCACACTGCGATGTATTGAACCGCATAAAAATATTTATTTAAAAATAGCAAAACCCAAGATTTGGAAGTATAACCGATTTCAAATATTTTTATTGAGAAGAGTAATACTTTTTATGCTTCAAGAACTGAATTGAAAAAAATTACTTCGGTAAAAACATAGGAAGGTTTAAATGCACAATCACAAATCTAGTGATATTCTATTGAAATGGATTTCACAGTTTAATAATTAAACAAATTATCAAGTTTTTAACTCTTTTTGCCCTTACACACTCATTGCCATCATTGTTGGCATGTGTTGTATACAGTTGAAATAGAGATGAATAATACATTCGGTGCGACATCTTTTGTTTCTTTCGTTTTGCCATCTTTCGATATCTTTTGTTTGCATAAAACAAATGGATTTTACCATCAGTACAATAAATTCGTCTTTGTGACAAATAAGTAGTGCAATGTGTTACAAGGTATTACGCCACACAGTAATGCAATGCAAGGACATTCATTGTACCAGAGGTACAGAAGCGATACAGTCCATTCTGTACTACCTTAAGTGTTTTATGAATGCAGGGGTATACACGCCTCAAACAGTCACCGTAATCCACACGGCATGATATCGTAAAATAAAACAGTGAAAGTGAAACAGATAAAGCAATATTTGACATTTGACATATTTCCTTTATAAACATTGCCAGATAATGACATATATCTTCCCTCGACGTACTAAGCAACAGGTAAAGAACATCACAAAAGTGAATACGGACACCTTCTAAACGACCACTTTGTACACATACAATGACAGTCACGAGCTGAACGGAATGAGCGTCTCATATCGAGCAGTACAAGCAAACACCTCCAACACGTTCATGACTTTTCAAGCGGTGGGACGACCACAACATGCGACAGCAATAACCTTAACACACAATGATTGTTCTTAGCTGTTTAGGCTCTTTTGCGGTTTGGTACATCGTGAAAGCTGGCATTTACTAAAATGGTCAACACGTGAGTTTGTAAAGAAACATAATGTGTTCCCCTTTGACTTTACAAAATCATGGCTCAAAACTTGACATAAAATGCGGGTCACATATCGACCATTTTGTTCCTTGTCACCGCTGAAAAGAGCCACGACAAACCAGACCTGTCACAGCGTTGTCAGGGCAATAGTTTTTTTTGACAACCAGCTAAAGCGTACGAATTAAAGGAACACGTGTGCAATATCTGTATTTAATTAAGTAGAAGTACTTATGAAATATTTTCGCGAGGAAAGCGTGTCAAATTAGCCATATCAGAAATTTGGTAGTTACTGCTTTTGAAATTTTGCGTTGTCTAGCCCCATGGATGTTTTACATTAATAGCGAGGCTAACCGAACGTTGCCGTCGATTTAGAAATGAGCGAGCGCAGCGAATCAAATTGACCGTATCAAATTGGCCATTTTTTGCTAAGCTACCGTAATACTACAACCACTTCAGCAAACACATTATTGTGAATCATTACTCACTCCACAGCGCATTCCACACGGTATTGCATTGATTCAATTTCTTTAGCTGTCTATCAAAAAAGTCAAAATACCAGCTTCTCGAACAACCAAGAGCCATCCCATGCCTCCGGCCGCAGAAGCCAAAGGCTTCAACCTGCATCACAAGCGATGATTCTCGGTGCAACACGACAGGCGCCCAACGAGACACAAGCGACACAGGAGAATCAGGCGCGGCGGCACGGTGCCTACCGGGCCGGGCCAGGCCGCTCACCTCTCCCACCGCGCGTTGAAGTCTCCGTGGTCGTCTGCTCCATCGCCGGTGCCTCCGTCTGCAGAGCCGCAGGGCTGTCTCAGGCTCAGCAAGCGCAGCTGTTCGCGCTCCCGCACCGCGCGCAATCCGCTGCAGACACGTCGCGCATGGCACTCCGCGCACCGCCCCTACCCCGCCCTTGTGATTTAGCATGGGATTAAGTTCAAGTATTCACCATTTGGTTGTGGGGTAAGTGGATACCGAGAACCTGCGTTACAAAAATTATCAGGAAGGTCGAGAAATATAAGACAAATCGGAAGTTAATGCAGACAAAGATATTGCAAGTTGTCACCCCTTAAAATACATTTGTAAACCCTGAGTAGACGTAAAAATAATACTCTTAAACAATACATTAAATACTATAAAATATAATACAATAGTAGCTTTTGACTATATATGCCAATATACATTTGATAAGTTATCAAGAATCAGCGCGGATATTCATTTGATACATACGAGCACGAGTTGGCCTATTTATGATTAAGATATATTACTATAAATAATCATATAATGTAAAATTTACATGATGCTGTACTTTAATTCAGGATACCTCGTTATCTCCCACCTGATCGGCAACAGATAACATTCTAAAATCAAACTCGCGAGGTTTTACATAGAATGCGTATGGAAAGGGGGGAATAGATGTGAATTAAATTCCTGTTATCAAGAAATTCGGAATAAGAGTACAAATTTTTGGGAAAACCCTCGTTATCCATTATCTAAACACAGAAGAACAAGAGGTCTTCAGAAGAGAAAAATACTAGAAGTGCATCATCAAACCAGTTCATTTTCTATCGCTTCATTTCAAGGTGCTCGTTTGATACAAACAAATTGTCATTCTAGTCCATATATTGTTAACAGAACCTAGATATTATTATGATTCGCTAGAAGAGATATACGTTTGTGGTCACCTTGTTAGCCGATCGAGCGAAAATTGACAAATATAATCCTCACATCACTAAAATGCAGGCTAAAAGAAAATGTTTTGAACAACGAAGACTAGGAGGACGTTACGTTCAAAAGTTCTCAGAAAAAATTTGGGATGGGAAAGTGTTTCGCAAAAAGATTAATGAAATTAAGGAACGCCAAGAAAAACAAAGTAAAAGTTACTAACACTTGATCAGAAGAAAGGAGCAGGGAGCTCAGCAAAATAATGAAGAAATTCTGGAAAAAGAAGAAAAAAATAAAAATCGAATTAGAAACATCAACTGACCGTGGTCCACGAAAGGCGAAACTCGTAGAGAATAATAATGTTGAATTACATTTACTCTCGCTCTTAAAAAACGTTGGGTTCCGGTTCCGAGCCGGTTCGGGTGCCCGCATCGCCGCGCGCTCTCAGCGCTGAGGCGCCGCGGCGCCGGGCATCTGGGGAGAGCGACGCCAACTCCGGCAACAAAGCTGCCAGCGCGGACGACTACGGCTGTTACTGGTATAGCCACGTCAACAATAGTTATTTATGCACCAGGGATGCTAATGATCGAGCAGCGACAGAAAGGCGAGCACCTTTGGCTCTCGGGCTTTTGTCGGTTAACGCCCGTGGTACTTATATACAGGGTTTCATTTTGTACATAATTTTAATTATTGTGATTTACTTATTTCACAAATAACTTGATGGTAACTTGATTTGGTTTGTCTATTCATACCTCTTTTACATAATTCTCTTTCATAATTCCCTCCATAAAAGAACATGGAACATTATTTAACTGTGTTCATACTTCCGTCGTAACTATAATACTCTCAATCCAAGTAAGTTATGCACTGCAGACTGATGTCTATAGCAAACACAATAACAAATCATAACGTAACAGTAAAAATAAAAAACTTTTTTATTTATCCTCCCTGTACTAAACGATAGGACAGAAAGGATGGAATCAACAAAACGATCTCGAATTTTCAGTCGTAAAATCATTACTTAAAGTTCTTTTGGGCGGTAACTTCGCACTCACGCCAGGACTACGGCCTATTAGAGCTTTTACAAAGATGGTTATGATTGGTACAGGGGATGAGGAGATTACCCGAAAATCTGCAAATCAGTAAGGATGGATGGATATTCGAGTATGTGTCACGCATAACTCTAAGATTAGAAGCAATTGCGCTGTAACTTCGTAAGTACGTCAGGAGTACGATTTAGTGACATTACGGAGTTGAGGCATTCTGGAAATAAGGTATTATGATTTTTACATTGTATCATTTTGTAATAACTTTTTTATTATAGATCACATGTTTCAGACCTCCTACTATCGTAGAGCAAAATAGATTATTAAGATGAAAACAAATTTACGTAAAATAATTTAAAAGATGATTGCAACAAAATTTATTTGTAATTAAGATGTGTGTTTTAACAGTAAATTAGTTAAAGTAAAAAATACAAAGTTTTGATAGTCTACTTAAGTCAGCCGTTTTTATCACTTTCTTTTGAACACGAGGAGCACTAAAATTTAAAAAAATTCTGGTTAGACAAAATAGCATTTATTAAAGTATCCTTTCCAGATTAATGTTGAAGTAGCATTGACAAGATTTAGTTGAAAAAACCGTTATTTATCAAAAGTTTAATTATCTTTATAATTAAACCACTTTAATTATCTAAAGTCACACATTTACGCATTAAGTCCAAAGTCAATGTCCTACTATAAACAACTATAATCAGATTCGTAATCAGTTTTCTTAAAAAGCCATTTAATAATGCATGGCATCCTATTAACTATTATAAACATCAGTCTGTCACGTTTTGCAGAATGAACAGTAAATTTTAAAAGAAAATTATAGCACATATTGAGATTTTTACAAATAGGATGAAACGTTGTTCGATATTCGTAGTGTAATCAAATGTCTTAAGAATCGTATTTCATAAATAACTCTATTAGATAGAAGAATGCTAGGGAGCAGACTTCCAGCTTTGGCAAAAGAAGATACTACACCTCGAGCAAAATGGGCACCGGAACACGTTGAAGAACCTAATCCTTGACAAGAAGAAGAAGAAGAAGAAGAAGAAGAAGAAGAAGAAGAAGAAGAAGAAGAAAAATGAGATATTATAAGATCTTTGATATTATAAGAGCACAAAATTCTGATTGTGGGGGAGAAAAGTTTGCTGAAGTGGCTGTGTCAACGTGGACGTCGGCGCGGCGCGGCGCGGCGCGGCGCGGCGCGGCGCGGAGCCCTGGCCTGCAGGCAATTTGTGCCCTATTGGGCCGCCCCCGTGCTCCAAATAGGCGAGGTAGCCACCGGCTATGAGTTTCGTTTCTTTACACTAATGTCGGAACTTGGGAAAGGAGATACAAAACGAAAGTGTTTCAAGAGACTGATTTCAGTAGGCGTTTTTATCTTCCGGCACTTTCTCTTCCCTTCTCAATGTATACAAAGCATGCGAAATCGGTGAAACACAGTTTTAAGTTTTTTCTTAAAAGCGTTTTTTCTCTATAGTTTTTAGAGAATGAGTATTTCTTGCTGATAATACTACTTTTGATACTAACTTTACGCTAAGAGGATCTTAGCGATAATCATCTTCGCCATATCTGAAGAGGTCATTATGTTTGTTTTTTTACTTGCATCTTCACTTTCATCTACCGCGCCACTGAAGTGTCCGTGATGATGCAAGAATGTAATATCGTTCTTTATTCCAGTTCTTTATTCCATCGCTAACCGACTCGTAAGTTTTGGAAAGATTCTCATCTGATTGTTTTTGTTTTGAAGCTGAATTATACATTTGAATTCCTTCGTGATGTTCCGTAAGAAATGCTCATGTTTAAACTACATTTTTTAATGTATCTCGAAAGCGATAAGTGTTGACCTCAATGATGTAAGGGATTAGGTCATGATTACAAGTATGTGAAGTTTTCGGGCTCGGCTGCGGGATCGTAATAAGTAATAAAGTAATTCACTACTCAAAGAGCATTCAGAAATTCGATTTTTCAGCTTGTACTTAAAGAGATCTACAACTAAAGAGGTAAATCATATGATCAATGTAGCTGACCGCCTGATTAAATTGCCAAACGTTTATGCCATGTAATGTAATTGCTGACGCAGTACTCACTGTGTAGAATTAAATAAGCATTGATATATCTCTAGAAAAGAATATTGGATTAATAAATAATTATGATTTCAGAATCTGAATTAGTGAAAGGAATTGCATTAAAAGTATGACCAAATGTGTATATTCAGATAAGTATAATCCGTTTTAATGTACTCAATTTTCCGTCTGAAAATACCGATAATACAATATTAAATCATCTCAATTCAATAAATATTTATTTTTATTTGTGGTTTCCTCTATAATGATGCTTTTTATAACAGTGCTTGCATTTAACGAAAGGTCACAAAACATTCATAAAAAATAATTCAGACTTAGTGAACTCGGAAAACGGGAAACCAACTCATGCTGCTCATGCACCCGAAATTTTATGATGTCATGAGTGAGAAGAGTGAACAAGAGTCTCACGACAATTCTCGTAATAGCAGGATGAGAGAGATAAGTGAAACCCGCACTTGCCCTCTTTCACACTTGAAAATGCCAACAAGAATGAAAAGATTCATCGATGAAAAAGCTCAGAAAAAAACTTCCAAACTGGCTCATTTTGGAGGAAATTTGCGTCGGTCGGGACCGGAAATGTGAAGCCATTGTTCTGGGAAACTGCCCTTGTCGGACTTGCAACAATGAAGCCACAGGTTAACGACCGCGAGTGCCGTACTAGAGAGGCGTAGATTCTTTTTTACCACGGCCTGGTGTTGGAGGCGCTATTTCATGACAGGTCATTACGGTCACGCAGAAATGAGTGTACCTCGTGTCATTCACAGTGCCGTGACAGTGTAGGCAAGGCTATAAAGAGCGATAATGGATGGCCCTTGCTGAGAACGTCGCGGCAATAATTCTCAGAAACAAGTCAAGGTCTGACTATTATCATGCATTTCTTCTAGTATACATAATTTTCAGTAGACTCACTGTTACTCTATGTTTTATATTACATAGATTACATTGTACATAGAATATATTACATTGTACATAGAATATATTACATTGTACATAGAATGTTAGATGAACTAATATGTCATTGATGTTGCATCTAGGTTTTGGGATTCATCCTAGTCATAAAAAATTAAATAAAGGAAGAGTGAAAGAAACACATTTAAACAACTTTACCACTTATTATATTCGCTGGCTTTACGTACTACTAACTTCTCCATATTGAATCTCAATATTGACTTTTAATTTTTGTTCGTTTTCAACAGGTTGAGTTCAAAACTTTTCGTGCCGTTTCCCCGCATTCCACTCAACAAAATAAACTTCACCATTCCAGAAGTGGAAAATTTCGCTGAACTAATGGCTACAAATCTAAAAATCTAGTGTTGCACTTTTTTAAGGACTCCCAAAATACATCTAGTTAAATTTGATGAAATAAAACAAAACGGAGCGTAAGCAAATCTACCCAAAATGAAGAAAGTCACTATAAAATGAATGACGTTTCAAGCCTTCCCCGAGCTGACGTCCAGATCATTCCATTCTAGGTCGGGTAATGACATTACAAAACCAATCATCAGTTATTACTTCAAACAGAGCGACTTTGTGTTGTACCCGTTATATTTAAAAGAGGGTTTACTGGCGGTTACTTAGCTTCCTTGTCTTTTTTATTCCTTGTCTTCCTCATTGTGCCTCGCCTCTTCCTTCCCCGAGATTTTTCTTACACGCCAGTCTTACTTCTTATACCTGCTGTTCCTGGCGTACGTTCGACCAGACACGTTCAGAATGCATGACTCAAGAAAAAAATCGTAGACAGAAACGATGGACAGTAACCGAGGATGACGCATAGAACGAAAAGGGACCCGCCAAATACGGATATCAGTAAGAAGGCAGTGACATTGAACGAATACTAATTGAAAATGTCTCGCAACGATTATCCAATGCAGAATCCCTCATAAACATGTAAATGTAGTTTTTGAATATTTCGTTTAGGAAAACTTTGCAAGAGTTTTCTTAAATTTATATAAAAATACACTAACTGATATAGACGTAAATGATAGGACGTATTTAACGACTCATTTTGCCTAATTTCATTTCTGCAAGTAGCAGTATTTGCAATTGAATTAGGAAATTTCACACTTTCAAGAACAGCAAGAAAAGAAAATTATTGGAAGCTATTAAAAGAAAAATACACGAAGAAAATATCAATACAATATCAAAACACTTCATTGCTAAGTTTTGTATGTTGCGTAACGGACTGATATTAGTATGATTCTTATAATACAAGATGCCTCCAAAACGGTGCCATTCAACAAGCCTAAAGCCTAAATTACCGACATTCAATGAAATTTGAACCTGCTCTGGCACCGCAGGGTCTCGTAGCATCGTAAAAGTATGCCGAGATGAATGATACAGGCTTAAGTTCCATAAGAGTATTTCACCAAGTGATTGTGGCGAGTTTTTTTCTATTTCCTGGCATCATATACCTAATGAAGTTTTAAATTCTCAAACCACAAGAATCATCGTCTTATCCTTAATCATTTTACTCTCATAATAATTTACCTTTCAGGATTATACAAGCGTCACCAACCATCCAGAGGAAAACTATGACCAACCAAACGTTGTGACAGTCAGCCCAGGAAAGAAGAAGATACGGTGGCAATAGGTCTCCTCCCTCACCTACTCTCAATAGTTGAACACAGCATCATCATCATCATCAATGACGTTGAAGGCTTCCAAATCAGGACACTAATAAACCAAAACAACACAGACACATCCGTTAATACACTTAGATTCGGCACGATCACACCGACATAGCGCCTCACCCCGCCGAAGCGACCCAGATACTTGCTGCACTCGAATCCTGGGCGCCCACTCCACACTCCAGCACTTACGGCGCACGACCCGCCGCACCTCCGCTCCACTGACCGCCTCCGCCGCTACCACGCACAGCGTCGCTGGCGTCCGCAGCTGCAGGCAGAGCTCCTCCGCTCCGCACCGCTTCGTCCGCTGATGGAGACTCCCGCTCCGGCAGCAGCGACGGCGATGTCGGCGAGGATGGGGGCAGGGGCAGTGGCGGCAGACGGCAGAGGCGGTGGAGTGGCGGTGGCGGTGGCGGCTGTGCTCGTGCAGGGCCCGCTACGCGAACCTCCCCGCCCCTTTCCCCACGCCAGCGGGTTGTACAGTTAGCGCGAGGCGGCGGTCACGGAGCGGAGAAGAGTGGATACGGCGGCGGCGAGAGCCACTGTGCAAGGAGGGGTGAGAGGAGAGAAAAATATCGTGGTATGGGAAAGAGTATGGAAAAGATTCTGATGGAGTCAGAGGCACAGAGTAATAGAAGGATAAGTTTGAATCACGTCGGTCGCCATAGTTGAATGTCGAACCGCGCACGTAAAGGACTCTTTAGAAAAGGGGACAGTAAAAGAGGTGTATAATAGATCATGAAAGGGCAGGATGGATTAATATAAAATGCGACAGGCTAGGAGTGAATTTTGTAAAGCTACGCTTGCGGAGAGAGGAGAGAGGAGAGAAGGGAGAGGGGAGAGAGGGGAGAGAGGAGAGAGGGGAGAGGGGAGAGGAGAGAGAGGAGAGGGGAGAGAGGAGAGAGGAGAGAGAGGAGAGAGAGAGAGAGAGAGTAGATATAGATAGCAGTGCTAGTGAAAACAAAAATTCCACTCTTTGTTCCATAGTATTTGTTGGGTCGCAATGAGACCTATTCGGGATCTAAATGCCACATTATTCATGAGGGGTACATTGCAGTGGGAGTGAGGCTTTAACGACTGCCTTTTACAGGAATGGTGAAACATCAGTGGCGGAAGCTATGGCAGGAGGCGGTAACGACGGCGACCACGTCTCGCCTGCTACCTTATGCTGCGATGGAGACGATAGTAACAGCGCCGAATAAAGCGACCGCGGCAGAGAATGCGATAACAATCAAGACAATGTAGAAGTTGATGCTGATAGCGCGGACGTGGCGAAGATTTGAAGAGGTGGATTTTGCAGAGGTGTGCGAAATAATACTGAAATTACCCATTACAGTAACTGTCAGTTCTACTGCACAAAATGTCAATTCGAGCTGGGTAATTGAAATATTTTATTCAAGTATGTAATGCACAGTAAAACAAGTTTTGTAAATACGTTTTCTCTCCTACTCTTCCCGGTATCAGCAGTTTCAATAAAATCAGCAGTTTCAATAAGTGTTGATTCTGATTTTCATGACAGAAAACATGAAAAGTATCACGCATGTGACTTGTACCTTCACCCGATTTTTATTATCATGTACATATAATGTAGATTTTCGGTTCCTACATAAAGAAGTCGCCACTGCTTGATGACTACTTCGTAGAAATAAACTAATTTAAATGGATAAGGGGGATTCTTGTTCTCCTTCATCCATTCCACTTCTATACTCGCATCTTAATAATTCCAATTGCTTAGCATTTCTTCACTGGGTAATATGCATATCTTCTCGCTTCAGATGGCAATTCTAGACTGCGAATGGGATTTTTCCTTCTGGGATTCGCAGCAGATTGTAGGAATTTCTCATGACATTAACACACTATTTGGTTGTTAAATTTGAAATTTGAATTGTTCATTAACCGACCCATTCTTGTCACTACGAATGTTGATAAAGAATTTAACATATTATTTTGCTATGTTATCATAAAATACTAGATATTATTATTATTACTATTATCATAAACCTATTATTATTATTATTATTATTATTATTATTATTATTATTATT